AATATAATAATGGTATACAGTACCAAGTAAATAAGACGCATGTGCAACAATTAGGGATCTTTGATCATTCTGGATCGTTTCTCCTACACAGTAGGCTGCATCTTTGCCTCTCCATATTGAAGCTCTTCCCAAACTTCAAGGCTGAGGGGCTGATTACCTCATTTTTTGTATATAATTCTTAATATCATGCCATTGTATGGATAAAGCCACTGGCTGGCGAAACGTGTACAAATGAAGATACCCAGGTGTTGCACATGGGTCTAATTCTTCATCGTTGAAACCTATCACCAGTGATACAAGTGAACAGGAGGAGTGTTTACCGAGTGTCAAAATGAGTAGGATAAACAAAGAGTACTACTGTATAGCAAACAGTGACAAGATATTTTCAAAAGCCTCGGATTACTAATAACAGCGCCAGCGTATCGATAACAATGAAAGAGTATTACTAACCACGCTAAATATTACAAACCGTTAAAATATTACTAACACTGCCAATATAATTAAAAGCGCTAAAATATTTTTAACAGCCTCAAAATAGTAGTAGCACTATGAAATTAGTAGTAGTACCATAGTATTGGTAATATTACCATAATATTGGTAATATTGCTATGATTTTGGTAATATCTCTAAAATATTGAAAATATCACCATAGTATTGGTAATATTGCCATAGTATTGGTAATAACACCATAGTATTCGATAGTGTGGATAGACACAATAATTCTATTGGTTAACGGCAGTAAGAAAATTTTTGTTGTTGATAACCAAGATAGCAAAAAATATTTGTATGGTAACTACTGAACTACAGTTGTCAAGTTCACACATGCAGTATCCGATTCCCATAACGGTGTCAGAGCGTGTTTGCAGCGGTAACCACCCCAAATAATAGACTTTTAACAGTATCAACATGAATCTGAATCCTTCCTATGTAAAGACATATAAAGAACAGATTTTAGCGTACGGCGTTGAAAGAACGGAGAATACCAAGGACAGGTGCCGTTTTTTTTTTTAGGTACCGACGGAGAAACAGTACTCTTGCCGTAAACAAAACTCAAGACCTAGCCATGGACAGGGCTACGAGGGCGTTGACCCCCCCTGGAATACCCTCTAGGTATACGTAATATGCCCGTTCAGTTGCTGCAACGAAGGGAACGACGAGTAAGCAACAGATTGATTCACCGGTATCCTAGTAGCTGACAGTATTGTGGCTTAAAAAAAAAGTTACACAGCTGCCCCTTCAGTCGTATATGGGCGGAGACTGGTATCTAGTGAACTTTACTACCTGACTTACGTAACTGTTTCCTCTCTTAATAAACCTGTGTGGTCCAAGTGAATGTCTATGTACATGTTACACAGACAAAAGAATCCCTTTGTCTGTGTAACATGGCTTAAATAGCAACGCTCTTCTTGCCGAATAAGGCAAGCGAAAATTTGTGCATGCAATAATTTCGCAAAAATCATTCTGAACTTAACGAAAAAAATATATTTAATTGTGTTTGTTTATTATTAAATTATTGTAAACTTATTTAAAATATATTTAGTTGGATTAGGTTAAATTAAATGGCGCTTGTTATAATAAGATTAGGTAAGTTTTCTAAGGTTCTTTTGGTACAAAATTATTAATTTTTACATTAACATAAATGAAAAAATGTATATCTTTAAACGTATAAGAGAAAATTTTAGAAAGGACTTAATTTTAAATGAGTTCTTGCTAATTCACCAGTTTTACATATTCGGCACATTATATATATATATATATATTTATATATATATATATTTTATATTTTATATATATATATATATATATATATATATAAAATATATATATATAAGCGACCTCAATTTAGGGACCATTAGCTAGAGCTCAACGTATGCACACACCGTATGTATGTACCGTTTCCCTTTCTCTCTTGTCTATTTTTCCCTATCTATGTTCCCTCTATCTCCCCTTCTCCATACCGCTTTCTTCTCTTTTTCCTCCTCGATTACATCCTCTCTTTGCCTTCCTACTTCCCTTGGTGCTCTTCTCCCTTATCCCCTGTGCCCTCCCGCCCCATTGTCCCCCTGACAACACATTCCCAAAACATACTTATCCCAGCCGTCAAAAAGTTAGTTTCATAATGAATATATATACAGTGTGAATGAAACATCACAGACATCAACTGGCATGATTTATATATCCGAGAACCAATGTGGTATAATAATGCTTGGTTGCCACTCTGGGGGCTACTGTCTTGTTTGTTGTTGTGGTGGTGTACTGTTTGTTGTGATGCAGTGTTATGGTATATAGTGTTTGTTGTGGTGTATAGTGTTGTGGTGGTATATAGTGTTTGCTGTTATCGTGGTGTACAGTGTTGTGGTGCAATGTTGGTCTTGTAGTGTACATTATTGCGGTATAGTATTGTGGTGCATTGTTGGTCTTCTAGTGTACATTGTGGCGGTGTAGTGTTGTGGTGCACAGAGTTACGGTGTATAGTGTTTATTGTGGTGTACAATATTTGTTGTGGTGTATAGTGATTGCTGTTGTGGTGTACAGTGTTTGCTGTTGTAGTGGTGGGTGTACAGTGTTTGTGGTGCAGTGTTGTTCGTGTTGTGGTGTACAGTGTTGGTGTGGTTACACTGTTTGTTGTTGTGTAGTATTGGTGTGGTTACACTGTTTATTGTTGTGTAGTGTTGTTGTGCACATTGTTGTGGTGGTGATGTACAGTGTTTGTTGTTGTGTATTGCGGCATTTTCATTATGGTTGTGCTTTGATGGTATAGATTGTTTGCTTTTTGTGGTATAGATTGTTTGTTGCTTTGTATTTGTGGCGTAGATTTTTTTTTTGTCTGCAGTAGACTTACACAGCGACCACTGTGCTTGTGGTGCTTTACTTACACAGCACCCACTGTGTTTGTTAGACTTACAGCACCTACTGTGCGTGGTGTTGGACTTACACAGCACCCACTGTGTGTTGGACTTACACAGCACCCACTGTGTGTTGAACTTACACAGCACCCACTGTGTGTTGGACTTACACAGCACCCACTGTGTGTTGGACTTACACAGCACCCACTGTGTGTTGAACTTACACAGCACCCACTGTGTGTTGGATTTACACAGCACCTACCGTGTGTATTGTTGGACTTACACAGTACCCACCGTATGTTGGACTACAGCACCTACTGTGTGTGTTGGACTTACATAGCACCTACTGTGTGTGTTGGACTTACATAGCATCCACTGTATGTGTTGGACTTACACAACACCCACTGTGTGTGTTGGACTTACACAGCACCCACTGTGTGTGTTGGACTTACACAACACCCACTGTGTGTGTTGGATTTACACAGCACCCACTGTGTGTGTTGAACTTACACAGCATCCACTGTGTGTTGGACTTACATCCACTGTGTGTATTGGACTTACACAACATCCACTGTGTGTGTTGGGCTTACACAGCATCCACTGTGTGTGTTGGACTTCCACAACACCCACCGTGCGTTGGACTTACACAGCACCTACAGTGTGTGTTGGACTTACACAGCACCCACTGTGAGTGTTAGACTTACATAGCATCCACTGTGTGTGTTGGACTTAGCACCCACTGTGAGTGTTGGACTTAACACGCCATCCATCATAAGTCGTGTTTTGGTCTGAGGGGAAAAGGCGTTCATCCATTTTGCACCGATACATAAACAAATTCGGTATCTCACACTGGGTGTAGCCTTGCCTTGTTTGTGGTATGTGTTTTGTATACCACCAGTGTACACCTCACTATTTACCAAACTGTATGTACATCCCTCTGTTTATTACACACCCGAAATGACCTGAAAGTGCTTATATATCGGCCATTTTGAAATGGTCACTAGGCAATATTTTCTTCAATATTACATATGCACTATACACACTTATTATACACTATGCAGACGTAATACCCACCACAAACGCTTGACATACACAACATACACTTGTTACACATTTGATGCATTTTCCCCTTAAGTCACAAGCTCTTTGCTAGTTTTTGTGTAGTAATTTTTCATAATAAAGTCCTTATGCATCTAGAAAGTAGTTTTTCATAAAACACCAAATTAATTCTTGTCTAAGAATCACGCTTTGCCTTCATAAATATCACCAAAGTTAAGTTCTGTGATGTGGCTAGAAACCTCTTTGAAAGAGGCGTCACATTTCACAAATGTAAATTGTTTCATGTTATGTTGATTTTTTGGTGATTATCATATGCCTCTTTGATTACCCTCAAGGAACGTTCCTTGATGTTGGTGAGGGGCTCTTGATCTAGGGAATTGGGTCTGTGTTCCAGTTCCCTGAATTAAACCTGAATACGTATCTTCCACATCCCCCCAGAGGCGCTGTGTAATCCTACGGATTTAGCGCTTCCCTCTTGATTATAATAATGTAGTACTTACTGTCTGTTTGTGAAGAGAAAATTTCTACCGGAAAAATTAGAGTATCGAAGACACGACACAGGTGCACAGTAAAGCTTTTATTGTGACAGCTCTACAGAGAGCGAAAGCTTATCAAAGCTCTATATGCCTTTGTGTCCAGAAATAGAGTATCCTTTCGGCACCGCATTTTTCTTAGTCTGCTCTTGGTCTCTGTTGATAGCGATAAGGAATCTTAACCTATTTTCTCTTGTCCATTTATGACCTTATATGTGGTAATAGTAATTTCTTAATTCTTACAATAAAACAAGGTATTTTTAAAGTTTTTTGTTCGTACGAGTTTAATTTTTTTTTCTCTCCTGCTGCAAATAATAATAATAGTTTTCTAGCTTCGTAACCCATATTTTTGTTGTAGCTACGTAAGTCACTTTATGTACATTTCTGTGTTTAGGAGTCTCACTAATTTAAAACGTCTAATAATTCTCCGTGTCTCTGTAGTAACATTACAGAAGGCTACAATATAGTTAACACTTTCTGATTTTCTCCTCCACATGTTAAAGAAACCATCCTAATATTGCGTTCACTTTCTCATATTTGTGCTTCTCTCTCCCATAATCAG